TTTCATTAATTCTCCCTAAATAGACAGAATAAACGAGCCTTGAATGTTGATATAAATAGATCACAAACTACTGCTTCATCTCCATTGAAATTCATCTTCTTGAATGAAAATGTGTTATAATGCACTATAATTTCTAGGTAATAAATCGTTGCTATGTAGGAACTTTGTTAGATAATGTAAGTTGTAATTTGAATATTTGAATCAACTTTATGTGCCAAGAATGTAGGATGGTCCTGACATTGCCAAGGCCAATGCGAGGAACTAACATTCTTGGGGCAGTGAGGGATTTAGTAAGGAAGTATGTAGAAGAGCGTGTCTTAGGATATTGGTGATTATTCATAGTTAGCCTTTAAGTTTGAAGAGGTCGAAGGGTTTTGTCACTTTTGTAATGTTGCATCCCTTAGATTGTATTGCTATATATCCAAATGTTGGGTTGTAACTAATACCTAGATAAGAATGTTGAATTTGAACTTTAAACTTGGTTTGATGGTACTTTCAAGTTCATGATCTTTGGTTTGTTACTATTTTAGTTATTGAGCTTTTAAGCTTGATGGCATGTTGAGTTCAATTTTAACTTTATGTGCCAAGAATGTAGGATGGTCCTGACATTGCCAAGGCCAATGCGAGGAACTAACATTCTTGGGGCAGTGAGGGATTTAGTAAGGAAGTAAGTAGAAGAGCATGTCTTAGGATATTGGCGATTATTCATAGTTAGCCATTAGGTTTGAAGAGGTAGAAGGGTTTTGTCACTTTTGTAATGTTGCATCCCTTAGATTGTATTGCTATATATCCAAATGTTGAATTTGAACTTTAAACTTGGTTTGATGGTGATCTTTAGTTTGTTACTATATTAGTTATTGAGCTTTTAAGCTTGATGGCATGTTGAGTTCAATTTTAGTATATTTGATGTGCTGGAAAATGAAAAAGATTAGTAGGTTATGGAATTTTGTTGTTATAACTCAACTTTGAAGTTTGATGGCATGTTAAATTCAATTCGAGGATTGTGTTGGGATTACTATAACAAGTTATAGAATTTTATTGTTGTAATTGGGCTAACAAATTCAAAAGGGAAAAAGATATGGGTTAGGCCCAAATCACCCATTCAAACCGAACCAAACTGTCCATTATTTGGTTACCTTAGTAACTTTTGTTAAAACTGAACCGAACCAAATGTGGGAGGAAAAAAAATGAGTCGGACATATTTCTGATTTTTTTTTTCTTTTAGTGGTAGATATATAGAAGTCAACCTCACCAAACCAGCATGACTAAACTCTAAAAGCTCACCAAACAGCAGGGTCCCTAAAACTGTGTGACAAAAGATGACAAGCGCCTATTAAACCAATGTAATGTGAGGTGTAATTGGGCTAACAAATTCAAAAGGGAAAAAGATATGGGTTAGGCCCAAATCACCCATTCAAACCGAACCAAACTGTCCATTATTTGGTTACCTTAGTAACTTTTGTTAAAACTGAACCGAACCAAATGTGGGAGGAAAAAAAATGAGTCGGACATATTTCTGATTTTTTTTTTCTTTTAGTGGTAGATATATAGAAGTCAAGCGACATTATCAAATTTTTTATTATTAAGAGGCATTTTGGTTGATGAGGAAGATTCACAGCGCTGGGAAGTAGTTGCAGCCCTGCTTGGATCACCAAACCAGCATGACTAAACTCTAAAAGCTCACAAAACAGCAGGGTCCCTAAAACTGTGTGACAAAAGATGACAAGCGCCTATTAAACCAATGTAATGTGAGGCTCCCCAACAATGTAAATCAACTCCTTAATCCCTCCCAAACTAAGGAAAAAAAAAACCTATGATGATAGACGCGTCGAATTTTAGTATCTCTAGCTACAAAACAAATTGAACACAACAAAAATTCTTACATAATTCAAAATCAGATTCTGGATCTACGTCCACGATATCAGGAAATGAACCTGCATCTGAATCATTGCCCGTTTCAAATGCAACTCCCATGCTCTTCTCAGGATTTGAAGTAGTAGCGTAATTGTCTCTGCCAAGAGACTCATCACCTTTAGCCACCAGAACATCCACCGCATTGCTATCTGCTTGATCTGATGGGCCACTTTCCAAATCAACCCTCCCAAACACTTCTTCAGTAATAGTAGTTCCAGCAACTGAAACAACCTTTGGACACACGATATCCTGATATTGAACTATCGATTCTTGCAATTGGTGGGATTCAATCATATTTTCATCCCCATTGCCTCTCATCTCCACATCCTCAATGGTTGCTGTGAGCTCCTGTGCACTTCCTGCTAGAGTCTCTTTACTAAATGAACCATCTACAGAAAGCATTTTATCCCGATGAACTGTTGTAGTTTTTGATGGCTCTCCAGCCTGCATAGTCTTTCCTAGGTCACTCACTTGTGCTTCCATTTCTTTACTATTTGTAAAGGAAGTGTGATTCTCATTAATGAATAAACTGTTACAAAGGCCCTTATACATAACAGCTATGTTGAGCTGTCATAACTAATTACAGATGAGAATATATTAGTAAACTAACAGAATAATGACTAGTTACTGCCTTTAATTTGCAAGCCAGCTATCATATGGGGTTTGCTGCCTTAGACTATCAGAGTATATATTTTCTGGGAGTTTGTGGCGAACTCCATCAGAGAGGCTAGGTGCATTAGCGAAATCCGCCAGCGGAAGGACCCTGGGATGCATAAGCACCTCTAAGGCCAAAAGAGCATGAGCACAAAATTCAGCAAGTTTAGTTCCAGTTTCTTGTTTGCCTGCAGAAACCACTTTTCATGTGAACTAAAATAGATGAGGAATACAAGTACAGGAAAAAAACAAAGACTTGATTCTAATCGAAGAAAAAACTATTTGAGACAGTTAATTTTATTTTAGAGAAATGTCTATCTCTTTTTCAGAATGATGTCCCGTGCCTGTCTTTGAATTTTAATTTGTAGATTCAGGCCAAAATCAGTCTCTTACTCCTTGGTAGTTTTCCTGTAGGAGTAGTCAAGTGTTATTAAAGAGGTGTAATTCCTTCCTGCACATCAGTAATTAGGTTCTAATACGGGTGAAGAGTCCACCATCATTTGTAGCACATCAGGACATGTAAACATCCCATACATGTTTATTTGTTGCTTTTGATATGTCGACAAGATAATCAAAATGAAAAGAGAAAGATTCCACATATTCATGAAGGAATTACCTCTATGGAAAATATCAAGACCCTCAGCTAAATAAGGGGGGCGGACACAAGATGAAGAAAGGAAATATGCCGCTGCGTATCACCCCAAATATCAGCTGGTAAATGTTTCTGTTCTCACCAGCCCATCCCCCTTTCTGAGAATTTGTAGCTATGTTTATCAGAAGCAGATGAACATCTGATCGCCATCCTTCAGATTTCAATGCATCACCCCGTGAAAAAAAATCTATATATATAACATCTTGTCACTCATTAGTAATGCTTTGATGTCAGAAAAAAATTGTCCACAAAGATTTTAAGTTCTACCTACATAAGTAGATTGTTGCTTTAAAAAGTTGGAAATTTTCAGGTACAATTTCACCTTCTAAAGCAACAAAACCTTATTTATGCGCGATAGAGAGAGAGAACCTTAAAAAAATATTCTTATTTCTTACTTGTATCCAGAAAAATATTAATGACATGGTGCATACTTGGATGTTAAAGAAGTTCAAGCAACTGAAGGGCAGAACCCATAGCCTATAAAGACCAGGTTTCACAAATAAAATATCGTCTGTGATCAAAGTATTGGCTGTTCTCATAGTATATCAGGCTTAAGAAACATTATACGATTAGTTGCTCATAGATACTAAATGATGGTAATGCAAAAGGGATTAGGCTTTCTGTTTCGTGCAGGGCATCAAGAACAAAAGGGATTAGTGATGCAGGATGTGTAAGACCTAAATTGATTAGTTTCCTAGGTTCTCTAGTTTTCCAAAATCTAGTAGGATTTCTTTTCCAGGTTTTAGTTTGCTATAGTTCTTTAAAATTCAGATTTGAATG